CAGAGCTGGGAACTTTAGAATAGATAACCTTTAATCCCAACTACTTAATCCGAATATCCACTGTGGAAACTTTTAATTTCAGTGCTTAATCCACTCTTTTTCTCTCTCTTTGGATATCCGTACATTGTTTTCTCCAATGAGAGTGCAGGAATATAGTTCGTAAATTGTATTGACCAATGACAGCCTTGAAAATAAATTCTATTCCATGAGAGAAATCCGCAATTTCTAACAAGTAAAGAATTTGTTGTTGGCCATTTTTGAAATTAATCGGTGAAGAAAATAAATAATAATATGTTTAAGATTCTATTTTAACCAATGTTAACTAATGAATTAATAAATAAATGGGTAAGCAATTAAGTAAAGGCCCTTCCAGTCAAGAAAACGCACAAGTCTGGCGTTCTTAGAATCAAATTTGTTGATCTTTATATTTAATCTCAAGACTAACATAATCTTGAGATTATTTTAGTCTCGAGATTAGCAAAAAGAGAGGATTAAGCATTAATCCTGATATCCACCATTCTAAAGTTCCCAGCTCAGATCAAATATTTTAATTTTAACACCTGGGTTTACTAATGAAGGGAGGGCTCAATAAGGCTCAGCCCCCTAAGGAAAAAATCGGCCCCCCCCTGGAAAATTCCTAAGAACGCCCATGTTTTGACATGACAATGTATTACGCCATCCAGGTACATAGATATATATATATGTATATTAGACAAATTTTGAGTTTGAGGCTAATAACCGACTTAGAACACGCTGTGCGAAGCCAGATTCTGTTTTTTCTAAACCTTATTATTTCTTTTTATTTAGGAAAAGGGCAATGAAGAATGTGACTTCTAGACATGAAACTAAAGAAAATATTGAAATGACACAAAATGTAAGTTTAAAGGCAATGTAAGCGTAATTTCAAATGAACCTCTGGCCTTCATGCAAAGATGACATTCAAAATGCCTAATTACAACGATATCCTTCAAACCTTTGTCTGATTCGATTTGAATTAAATAGTATATAATTTAAAAACAGATCATTGATCTAAAAAAGTGACTTTATGGAGGACGTTGAGTCGATCTCCAATAAGACAAGGAATCTTTCTTGAGTATATATTTAGCTTATAAGGAAACAATAGAACTCTAAAATATGTCGGACGAAATCACATTATTACTACAGAGAATGCCACGTAGGATTCTCAAGCTCTCTTCTTTATTCTCGGCCTTTGGGTAAGGAGGCCGCCAGGTCTCGTCTTCCACAGTACCCCCCCCCCCCAGGGTAGAGGCCGGAGGTTGACCGGAGGATAAGCGTCTAATCTCCTATTATCACTAGCATCACAGAGTAAAGAACCATTTTTAACGAGGCGGAGAGAGGGAGATCTCTGTAGACGGAGAACCTCTGGACAAGAACGTTGGTCTGATGCTAGCTCTTCAAAATTAATACCTTTGGCGGAGGTTGGAAAGGGAGAGGGTAGAGAAGAATCTGTCACCTCGGACACCTCCGACACCCCCGACACCTCTGACACTTGACCTTCAGGGGGATGGGCAAAAGGCAGATGACAAGGGGAAGGAGGAGATGGACGGGAAAGATAATCTGCCACAACATTGGCAGATCCTGGAGTATGGCGAATATCACTGGTAAACTCTGATATATTAGATAACTGGCGTTGTTGGCGTGCTGACCAGGGCGGAGAAACTTGGAACAGGGCGGAAACCAGGGGGAGATGATCTGTAATGATGTGGAACTTTCTTCCCTCCAACTCGAAACGGAATTGACGTAGGGCGAGAAAAACCCCCAATAACTCTCTGTCAAAGGCGGAATATCTTTGCTGGGTGGCGGAGAGTTTTGCAGAGAAGAAGGCTAGAGGTCTCCAATTGGATTTCTTGCGCTCCTGCAGGACTGCTCCAACGTGTGAGGCGAAAGCATCTGTTACAAGGGAAACAGACGGAGAAGGGTGAGTCAATGGAACGGCAGAGGAAAGGGCGGACTTGGCTTTCTCGAAGGATTCCTGATGAGTTTCTGACCAGTTTAATGATTTAGGGTTTCCAGCCAGGGCATCTGTGAGCAGACGGAGAATCTTTGCAATACCAGGAAGAAACCTCCTGTAGAAATTGACCATGCCAAGGAATCTTTGCAAGGAACAGACATCTTGAGGACGAGGCAGCTGAAGTAGTGCTTCAACATGACGGCGGAGGGGAACAATTCCTGTGGCTGTAATCTTGTGACCGAGATAATCAATTTCTGGAAGAGCAAAACTTCATTTCTCGAGGTTGATGACCAGGCCATTCTGTACTAGGAGTTCCAGGACAAATCGGAGATGTTTCAGGTGAAGACCTCATCCACGGCTTGCCACAAGAATGTCATCAAGGTAAATAAAAACAAAAGGTAAACCTTTAAAGATCTGGTCCATGAGACATTGAAAGGTCTGTGCAACATTCTTCAGGCCAAAGGGCATGGACAGGAACTTGAATAAACCAAAAGGCGTAACAATGTCTTCACTATTCATGGGGACTTGATGATAACCTTTCACTAAGTCCAGTTTTGAAAAAACTGTACAATGTTTCAAATTGTTTGTGAAATCACGGATATTTGGCAAAGGATAACGATCAGGCTTTGTCACGTTGTTCAAAGGGCAATAATCGCCGCAAGGACGCCAAGAACCATCTGGTTTAGGAACCATGTGTAGTGGAAAGGCCCAGGGACTGTCAGAACGTCGTATAATTCCCGCCTCTTCCATCTTACGAAACTCAGCTTTTGCGGACTCCAACTTTGCTTGATCCAATCGGCGGGCACGGGCAAACAGTGGTTGACCATAAGTCTCTATGACGTGCTCCACCTTGTGAGCAGGAAGTTGACCAGGTTGACGAGGTTCCCAAGCAGCAGGGAATTCCTTCAGAAGGGAGGAAACATCAGGAGCAAGTTTGAAAACTGAAGCAACGGCGGGATTGGCGGTTGACATGACTGGAGAGGATAGAGGCTTCCTAGATGCACGTTCCAGAACCTGTTGTTTAGAAGCATCCACCAGAAGGTCGAATTCAGCCAGGAAATCAGCCCCCAGTATAGGACAATCAACATCTGCTAGTAGAAATGAGAACTGAAAACGGCGGTTACCAAATTGAAGCAGGATAGTCCTAGAACCCCAAGCTTTGGTAGGACGACCATCAGCCATCAGTAAACGAGGACCTGTGGGAGCAGCTGATGAATGGTGTGGAAAAACTGAGCGTGATGCACCTGTGTGGACCAAAAAGTTGCGGTTGGAGAGGATATCCTGGAGGTAGATGAGAAAACCACTGACGGGAAGACTGTTTCATTCCTCCTTCTCCCGTCGGCTCTGGAGTTTCCCTGGAAACTGCATGGAGGACGGCAGTTATTCCCAGAGTTTCTGAACCGTTTGTGAAAATAGCATTCACCTGCACCAGCTGGACCTGGAGTCTGGCTTCGGCGGACAGGAGAACCATCAGAACGCTCCCTCCCTCGAGCACGAGAAGGAGAAATAGAAGCTGCAGCTAGGAGAGGATCAACTGCTTGTGCTCTACGAGCATCCCATAACTTATCTGCATGTAACCCCATCTCGCTTGGATTCTTGAAATCCTTGGCCACCAGGTGGTCTCTCATCTCTACAGGTAACCTCTCAAGAAACAGACCAAGGAACAGGCTACCTGGTACTTCATCTTCAGGGAGTAAAGCCAGCATGGCGTCCATCAAAGCTGTGGGGTGGCAGTCACCTAACGCAGGATGGTGAATAACTTTGGACACTCATTCTCCCTCGTGTTGATAGAATTCCGGAACACCGTATATATGTTCAAGGTCGGGGTCACCAATATGGAGGACGTCGTGTCGGTCTCCAATAACACAAGGAATCTTTCTTGAGTATATATTTAGCTTATAAGGATAACAATAGAACTCTAAAATATCCTTGATCAGACCAAGGTTCAATCGGACAAGCCATTCCAAAATGCGGACAAGCCATTCCAAAAACGGAAGCTGTCACTTGAAATGACGTGTACACTGTACTGTCCCATTAAAAATAATGTTTAGTTGTTTTAATTAACTTGATTCTCGGTATAAACCAATTACTGTCAACAAACACTAATTTTTCCCGGCATTTTTGCTAATTATAAATTGTTAGAAAGCTTTCTTATTTTTTTTAAGAGTTTTACGACAATTTCTTAGCTAGCTAGAGTACAAAGTCAAGCATGAATTTTATATATTCCTTTATTATTAGTAAATATGATGAAAATTTGGTTTCCAGCAAGGTACTAATGCAAGAAAAGTTAATTATGGTCGCGTATACTCTGCCTACATATTGAAACCAGTTCTCTCTGGGCGGAATTTGTAAACAAGAAAAGATGCATCAGTGTTCGTCTAGTATCCGAGGAGGTTAAAAGCATTGAATTTAGATAATCTTGAAAATTCACATAATAGTTTCCTATGACCTGAATATTTTCGTGAAAATTGATTCAATGTCAGGTTTAACATCCGTCTTGTGTTTACTTTTCCGCCCAAAGACAATACACTGCAGTACAAAAAATGCGTACACTTCTGAAATAACTTTCCTTTCATTAGTACCTTGGTTTCCAGAAAGTGTTAAAAACTAAAAGATATTTAATTGCGAAAAAACGTTCTGCAGGCAGTATAAACATGTTTTAATTCAAATTTTCATTTGGGGGTTGATTGAT